CCATTGGTGCCTGGCTCATATACATTATTTTTTAACACTATACTTTTAGAACAAGTGTTCAAGTGTGAGTTCTTACATACCCATATTCGTATTTCCCATTATTAACATCATATCCAAGTTTGTCATCTTTGTAATGATCCATGAACTAATATTAATCCATTATTATGAACTAAATTCTATAATTATATTTCCTTACTTTATAGTTACTGTCCTTTCTGTTCTAGGATCCCATTCCCAAAAGAATATTACATGTATTTGTCAGGTCTTCTTATGCTATTTTTGGCTATGAGAACTTCTTAGGTTTCCTTGTTTTCACTGACCTTGACATTTTATTTTTATTTTTTTATTTTTTGGTCCAGTCATGGGGCCTGAACTCTGGGCCTGGGCGCTGTCCCTCAGCTCTTCATCTCCGGGCTAGCAGTCTACCACTTGAGCCACAGCGCCACTTCCGGTTTTTTTCTTTTTTGCTTATGTGGTGCTGAGGAATCGAACCCAGGGCCTTATGCATGCAAGGCAAGCTCTACCACTGAGCCACCTTCCCAGCCCTGACCTTGACATTTTTGAATACGACTGTTTAGGTAGTTTGAAGAATGTCTATCAATTAAGATTTGTCTGATGTTTTTCTCATCAATAGATTTGTTATGGGTTTTTGAAAAGTAACAGAAGTGTCATTTTAATCAAAGTACATACTATCAATAACTTATTATGGTCTATGTTGACAACTGACAGTGTTCATCAGAATTTTAATATTTTCCTATAAAGTTATTTTGGTACTCTTTGGAAGTCATTATATGCCATCTATACTTAAAGAATGAAGAGTTGTGTTTCATCTCTGCAAGGAACAACATATACATAAATTATTTAGAGTTCATATAGACAGAAAGTTTATATCATCTTTCATTAATTTATTCACTTATTACAATCAGAATTGACTCAATGATATTGATTTTATGCCTTGGGTTACAATAAAATATTGTTTTATTTATAGTTCAAATTGACAGCATTTTGGCCCTTGGAAGTTCTTTTTTTTTTTTTTTTTTTTTTGGGTCCGGTTGTGGGGCCTGAACTCTGGGCCTGGGCGCTGTCCCTCAGCTCTTCAGCTCAAGGCTAGCGCTCTACCACTTGAGCCACAGCACCACTTCCGGCTTTTTTCTTTTTGCTTATGTGGTGCTGAGGAATCGAACCCAGGGCCTCTGGCATGCAAGGCAAGTGCTCTACCACTGAGCCACCTTCCCAGCCCCCCTCAGAAGTTCTTGCAGTTGACTATGTCTCATTGGCATGCTCTTATTACTGTTTTTAATATTTCCTTACTTTCCTGTACAATGTTCTCCAAAGTCATCTTGCATACTTCCTGCCTGAGTCTTAAAATAAGTGTGTGTCCAAGGAACTTTGGGTTGTTTCATTTGGAAATGGTATTAGAAATCAGGAGCTGGCCACTAATGTGATCATTGTTACTTATGCCATTGCTTTTAGCCTTCTCAAACTGATGGAGATAAGAAATATGTGCATATACCAGCCCATGGACATCCACATATTCATGTTGCCAACTACATTAAGGTAAACATAAGTTTTTTTTCATTTCTTTTATATTATTTTTAATTAAAGTGAAAACCATATATTCACATAATAAAATTAACCTTCTCCCCTTGAAAGCTGACTTGAAACTTGAGATCTTTCTGTTTCAAGACTAGAGTGCTGGGATTACAGGCATGAGCCACCTGTTGGGGGAGATTACAGGCATAAACCACTATGCTCAGCTAAAATTAACCATTTTAGAGTACACACAATTCAGCACTTAGAATACTAGCAATGCTGCAAATGCCATCTAATTTGCAAGCATTTTTATTACCCTCAAAAGAAAATATTTCATCCGTGATTAATCATTCTCTTCCATCCCTCTTTTCAATTCCTCCAAGCCTCTAGCAAGTACAATCTGATTTTTGTCTGAGGATTTGCCTATTTTGGATTTTGTGTAAATGGAATCGTATGTGATCTGTTGTAGTTTTTCACTTTGCGTAATGTTTTTGAGGATCATCTATGTTGTAGTATCATAACTTCATTTTTATAGGTGACAAACATTACATACATAGGTATGATGTATTTTATTTGTTCCTAGGTTGATGAGTATTTGGGTTGCTTCTGCCTTTTTGCTATTGTGAAGAATACTGGTGTAGTTTCAGTGCCCAGTGTATTAGTCTTTGCTTCAGTTCTTTGGAGTATCTACCTATTAGTGTAATTAGTGTGTTATATGGTAATTCTAGCAAGTTTTGAGAAATTTGATATGGTTTTCCACAGCAGCTACACAATTTTATGTTCCCATTGGTATTTTTTTCTACATCCTCACCAATATTTTCCTATTAAATAATCAGAACCCTTAATTGGCATGAAGTGGTAATTCATTATGGCTTTGATTTGCATTCCAACAATGAATAATAATATTCAGCATCTTATACCTATTAGTCTTTTATCTTCTCTGAAAAAGTGTCTACTCATATTTTTTGTCAGTTAAGTTGGTTGTCTTTTGTCAAAACTTCACATAATGCCCTTGTCAGAGATATTATCAATATTTTTTTCTATTCTGTGGATTGTCTTTTGACTCTCTTGATAATATTCAGGCCCCATGACCGGACCCAAAAAAAAAAAAATCAGTTGACCATACCTAAGAGGATTTATTTCTGGCTCTCAATTTCTTACTGGTTTATTTATCTGTTGTTATTCCAATGTCACAGTTTTGATTAGTGTAGTTTCAGAGCAAGTTTTGTAAACAAAAATGAGAGATCTCTGACTTCATTATTTTGCAAAATTGCATTGACTATGTTGAAAGTCTTATTCCTAGAAATCTTTTTTTTTTTTTTAATTTTTTTTTTTTTTGGGCCCGGTCGTGGGGTTGAACTCTGGGCCTGGGCACTGTCCCTCAGCTCTTCAGCTCAAGGCTAGCGCTCTACCACTTGAGTCACAGCGCCACTTCCGCTTTTTTTCTTTTTTCTTATGTGGTGCTGGGGAATTGAACCCAGGGCCTCATGCATGCAAGGCAAGCGCTCTACCACTGAGCCACCTTCCCAGCCCCATTCCTAGAAATCTTAAGATGGGTTTTCTCATTTCTGAAAAAAAAAAGAAAAATCCAAACAACTAAAAGACCAAACAAAAAATGGGATTTTGATAAATTCATTTAATCTGGGAATTGCTTTGGGTACTACTGACATATTATTAAATCCTTCTACTCATAAACACCTGCTTTAGCTTTCTTATAGACATAATAGTTCTACTTTCTTCTAAAACGTCTGGGAGAGATATTTTTTGTCTTTTCCAGCTGGTAGTGACTGTTGGCATTCCTTGACTTGAAGCTACATCATTTGTTGCTGCCTTTATAGTTCTATTGCCTTCTCCTATACCGTCTTTAGTGTCTTGTCTTTACCTTTCTCTCCTTCCTCCTTTCACTTCTCTGAACTAAGGCTTGCTTTGTAAGCAAGCTCCACCACTTCAGCCAGGTCTCCAGTTCTTTTGCTTGTTTTTCAAAGAGGTTCTTACTTTTCCTGGGCCAGTTGGTACCACATCCACCTACTTCCACCTCTCAAGTAGCTAGGATTACAGGCATGCTCCATCATGCTGGTCTTTTCTTTCTTTTTTCTTTTTGGTCCAGTTGTGGGGCCTGAACTCTGGGCCTGGGCACTGTCCCTCAGTTCTTCAGCTCAAGGCTAGCACTCTACCACTTGAGCCACAGCTCCACTTCCGGCTTCTTTTCTTTTTGCTTATGTGGCGCTGAGGAATCGAACACAGGGCCTCATGAATGCAAGGCAAGTGCTCTACCACTGAGCCACCTTCCCAGCCAGTCTTTCTTTTTTCTTTTGGTTGTTGTTGTTTCTCTTTTTGTCCTAGAGGAGGACTAGAACTCAGTATCCAAAAGCTTTTGCTTTTTGGCAAGTATCCTACCACCTGAGCCATGACTCCAACTCCTGGGTCTGTTTTTTTACATAAGGTCTTGTTAAGCTTTTGCATGGGCTGGACTGCAACCTTGCTTTCCCTGCCTCTTGAGTACCTGGAATTACAAGCATGTACCTCCACACAGCCTGTTTTACTTTTTTTTTTTTGCCCCTGGTTCAGGGCCTCATGCTTGCAAGGCAGGTAGGTATTATACCACTTAAGTCATATCTTCAGTTCTCTTTTTAGTTGTGTTTTTGTTTGGGGCTGAGCTTGGACTGTAATCCTCCTACATACACCTCTGGCCTAGCTGGGATCACAGGCTTATGCAACCACACATAATTTATTTGCTGGTCTTGTACTTTGATGCTTTTAATTTTTTGTTTTCCAAGGAGCTGGGATTGCAGGCATGAGCTACCACACTGCACTTTGCCTCATGTATTTTGATTTACTAGGCAACATTTGGTCGTTTACAAATGTAAGGTAATGTAAGCTCTGGGGATGACGGTATGGCTCAAATGGTAGAGGGCTTGCTTGGTAAGTGTGAGGCTTTAAGTTCAAATCTTAGTACTGCACATAAGCACATAAACGCACAGGCAATGTATTATATTATTAAAAAGGAATTACATTTATTTGCACTGCACAATGGAATATAGGCTGAAAACTACTAATTTTTGAGACTTAAAAGAAAAAAAGAGCCCCAAACCAGCAGCCAGGTAATTTCCCTAAGCCAGGAATTTGGTAACTTTTTTTATTTTATTTTTTTTTTTGTGGCTGCAAGAGAAAAATGGCATATAGAATTAAAAATGTCAAGCATTTAAATGTTACTTTTTTTAAACATCTCAGTCACACACCCACTGCTACTTATTTTAAATATCGAAATTATCCAGCTTTTGATTACAAGTAGGCCCTTCTGTTTTCTCTAGAGAAATGACAGGACTTGGAGATTCTTGTATAGACTACTGAGGGCTTCCACAATTATAATTTTATTTACAACTTCACACTCACAGTCACGGTTTCAACTACTTTGCTTGGCAAGCGAAGACACTTTCACCAACCTCAGGTCTAAATTCATCGCCCCTCCTACCTGTGGCCTACCACCACGGACCTAAGTTCCCCTCCCCAGCTCATTGCGCAAGGGAAGCAAGGAATCTCTTGTTTTTTTTTCTTCAGACTTGGAAGAACTAGAACCGTTTTCTCATTCGCACCCGGATCCGTGGCATTCGTAGCTTCGCCACCCAAGCCAGGGCGGCCACCTCAGGAACCGCCGCGGGGAGGGCCGTGGGAGGCCTCACTACTCACTTCTCCGAGCGCCACTTCCGGATCTCCGGTGTCTCCACGTTATCGGTCCGTCCCCTCCCCCGGGGCAATTCCGAAGAGCTTCGTATTAACCCCGAGTGGTGGTCCAGGCGAGGTTGCGCCGGTGGGTGGGTTAGTCGGGCGAGACGGCTCCCAGAAGACGCAAAGAGCTGACGTTCGGGCCCGAGTGAGCCATTGCGACCTCGGAGTGGGAGAGGAGCGGCTGCGGCGGCGGCCGGGCTGTTTTTTCCTGAGCACCGAGGCAGGCACACCCGGAAGTCGCGCTGTACTGGAGTGGCGCCCCCGCCGCCCCCGCCGCCCTCGCCGCCGGGCGCGCGCGCCAGGTACCGCGAGGTGGAGGAGACGCCACGGTACGCCCGAAGCGCGCGTGTCAGCAGAGGCCGCGTCGCCGCGGCGGAAGGGCCCGGACCTCTCCAGCTCTAGCCCTGCCGCGGTAGCTTTCCGGAAAGGCGGAGGGTCTGGCCGGGTGCCTGGGCTGGCGAAGGGCCGTGGCGCCTGCCGGGTCCGGCTCCCACCCCCGGGGTCCCGCTCGCCTCTGGCTGCCACCTCGTTCTCCCACCTCACCTGGCCAGGTGAGGCGCGTAGAATTGGTGGAGCCCGGGGAGCGCTCGCGTCGTTTCTGCTTCTGGGAGGAAGCCAGCGACCGCGTTTCGGCCTTTCCTCCCTGAGGCGTGTTGTTTTATTTTAATGCTTGTCTCTTCGCCCTGCACTCGCGATTCAGTTACACGCAGCCTTGCTGTCTCTGTCTCTACCCATTGCAGCGTCCGCCTGTGCCTGCAAGATGCTGGAGTCCTATGTAACGCCAATTTTAATGAGCTACGTGAATCGCTATATCAAGAACTTAAAGCCTTCGGACCTCCAGCTTTCTCTGTGGGGTGGAGACGTGGTTCTCAGCAAACTCGAGTTAAAGTTAGATGTCCTGGAACAGGTAAGCTGTCTAACTGTCATGGCCGGGAAACATTTCCAGTCCTTCTAGGCACGGTTCGTTTCCCATGCTGTGACTTGCTGCAGAGAAAAACTAGACGTGCTTTGGCTTTTAGCAAGAAAAACGTCATTTTCTTGCTAATGTGTTCTATGCTGATACACATTGTCAAAATGTCCTATGAAGCTGGAGAATATTACTTGTGTATTTTGGGGCAGAGAGATTAAGGTCAGATTTTGAGGAAAGTTCTGCCTTCCCTAAGAAAGAATCCATTCCTCATGGCATCCTCAAAGAATTCTCTAGACACTGATTGAGAATGACAGTAAAGTTGCAAACTTCTTTATTCATCACTTTTTAGTTTCTTTTAACATGTGAATCACTTGATACTAATGAACTGTAACTTGCAAAATTCATGCATTCAGTAACTCATGTAGAACATTTACCAGTAACATATGCCAAATCATTCTCTTATGTTTGAGGATTCGAGATAATATGTGAATTCTTAAGAGTCAGAAATCAACTATGTTCTTTAGGAATTATGGGAAGAATTAATCTGATGGTTTTTGTTACCAGTGTTTATGTTCAATTTTCACCTGTTGCAGAATAATCTAGCGGTAATAACAAAAACTCTTGGCTCCTTCCTCATTCTTTACCCAAGGTTAAGTGGGTGTTTTAATATATTCATTTAAACATTTTAAAGGAGCATGCATCTTAAGTGTAACAACATAGTTTTAAAATTTATCATATCTGTGCATCTACCATCTAGATCAAAGTATTTCCTAGCACCTTAAATGACTCTTCTTTGCACTTTTGTAACCAATACTCTCTTCTCATAAAATAGGAGACTGCTAATTTGATTACTATCAAGATAGATATCTCTTACCTGTTCTTGAGCCTCATCAAATTTGAATCATTTCTCTTTGGCTTTTTTCATTTCATGTTATAGATGTGATCAGCTCGTATTCTGCTTGAGCAGTATTTCTTTGTTATTGTATTCCATTGTACAAGATTCCACAATTTACTTATCTACTTTCCTATTGGTGGATCTTTGGCTGTTTGTATTTTTGACTATTATGAAGAGCGCTTCTGAATGAACATTCTTATATGTATATTTTGATGTATATGTGTAAGAGGTAGGCATATGTTCAGCTTTAATATATATTGCCAAGTGGCTTTTCACAGTAGTTGTATCATTCTTACTGCTGTTAGCTATATTTGTTATCTTAATTTTAACTTTGCTGGTAGGTATATAGTGATATTCCATTTTAATAATTTTCTTTCTTTTTTATCATATTGGGGGGTTGAACTGAGGGCCTTCCTGCTATTAGACAGGTGTTCTAGTTCTGAGTCATATCTCCTGCCTTTGTACATTGGTTATTTGTGAGTTAGGGTCTAGATTTTTTTTCCAGGATTGTAGTTCAGGATTTTCCTATTTCATGATTACATGGAATATGGATTGTGGCCTGTTACCACAATTTCTCTCAATGTCAGCCTTCTGAGTATCTAGGATTATAGATTTGATCTACCTTGCCTGGCCTCTTGTAATTTGTATTTGCTTTTTGTCTAATGACTAATGATAAATACCTTTTCATATGCCAGTTGACATTTAGATGTCTTTTCTAAATTCTGTTTTATGTCTTCTTAAAAAATTGGTCTTTCTGTACTTGCTCTTTCTTTTCAACTTGTATTTTTTTTTTTTTTTTTCTTTCTCCTCTGGGGTCTAGGGATTGAACCCAGAGACTTGCCATCTACCTTAACTCTGAACTAGTTTCCTAACAGGAGTTCTTTATAATATCTGCGATCTTTCTAGTATCTGAAGTGAGTTCTTTGTCACATCATAGCGTTGTGGCTTGTCCTTTACTTTCTAAAAGTATCTTGATGAGCACAAGTTTATAATTATGTTATCAAAGCTTGTCTGTCTTTTACTTTATGGTTAGGGTTTTCAGGTTTTGATTTTTCCTTTTTATTTTTACACACTTTCTGATAGGTTCTTTTGGATTGTCTTTGTATACATCTGTAAATGATATCAATTTGACATTTTCCTATCCAATGCATTTACCGCTTATTTCTTTTTCTCCTATTATTTCATTTACCTCTGATATAATGCTGAATATTTTTTTTTCAACTTCAGTTGGAGTTAAACACTATACTATAAAGTGTGTTAGGTGTTAATAACCTTTATTGGGTTAGGGACATTTTGCTCTATTCCTAGTTTTCTACTGAATTTAAAAAATATTGAATAGGCATTGAATTGTATGAAATATTACACTTAATAAGTTCATAATGTTTTTTCTTTTTGTTAATGAGGAAAGTTGATTTTTAAAATGTTAAACTCTTTGTATTTCTGGGCTAAAACTCAGTTACTATGTAGTAGTCTTTTTATATATTGTTGGATTTTATTAGATTTTATGTATTTCTATTGCATAGAAATATTTTCATTGTATAATTTGAATATATTTGCAAATTATATAATCCTATGATTTACTTAATTTCTGTCTTGTGGCAGTACTGGGGTTTGAACTTAAGGCTTCATGCTTACTGCTCAGGTTCTGTATCACCATGTTTTCAACCCTTTTGCTTTAAGTCTTACTTTTTGCTGGAGCACAGTCCAGCTGGAGCAGTGTGTGCCCATGACACCCAGTGTTTAATTTTGTGTGTATAAACACTAGGACTTTAATTTAGCATTGTTTCTAAGGCAAACACTTTACCACTTGAATAATTCACCCTAGTCCATTTTGCTTTTAGTTACTTTTTTGAATAGGGTCTTGCATTCCTACTTGACCTAGCCTATATTCACTTCTCTTTTTTATTCCTCCTGCATAGCTGGAATGATAGGTGAATGCTACTCTGTCCAGCTTTATTGGTTGATATGGAATCTTGCTAACTTTTTGCTGGAACATTGATCATTGATCCTCCCTAACTCTTATCTTCCAAATAGGTGGGATTATAGGCAAAAGTCACCATACCCCCATACCTAGCTTCCTTACTAAGTGGTGTGTGAGTGAGTGTGTATGTGTGTGTGTGTGTGTGTGTGTGTGTATTATGTGTTTGCTTGTCCTGGGTCTTGAACTCAGGGCCTGGATGTTGCTCTTGAGCTGCTTTGCTCAAAGCTACTGCTCTACCACTTGTACGGTCCACGGTCCACTTCTGGCTTTTTTTGATGCTTAGTTGGGGATGAGAATCTCATGTACTTTCTTGCCCTGGCTGGCTTTGAACTGCAGTCCTCAGATCTTAGCCTCCTGAGTAGCTAGGATTACAGATGTGAGCCACCTGTGCCTGGCCCTTACTATGTTTTGATGATCAGATATGTTATCTTTTAAAGATTATTTGTGAAATATTATCTTTTTATAATTTATAGAAAAGATTATATATGATTGGTATTACTAGTTTTTCATGTTATTGTCAAAAGTATGTAGAACAGGGCTGGGAAGTTGGCTCAGTGGTAGAGCGCTTGCCTTGCATGCCTGAGGCCCTGGGTTCTATTCCTCAGCACCACATAAGCAAAAAGAAATAAGCCGGAAGTGGCGCTGTGACTCAAGTGGTAGAGCACTAGCCTTGAGCTGAAGAGCTGAGGGACAGTGCCTAGGCCTAGAGTTCAGGCCCCACGACCGGACCCCAAAAACAAAAACAAAAATGTGTAGAACAACATATTCCCCTTAACCAATTTAAATGTACAATTCTGTGGCATTAATTACATTCATATTGTTATATACCCATAACTATTATCCATATCCAGAACTTTTTCGTCTTTCTCAACTGAAATTCTGTGTCTACTAAGCTTTAACTCTCTATTCTCCCCACCTTCTACTAATCATTTGCAGCTACAATTGTACTTTGTATCTTTATAAATATGACTACTCTAGGTACCTCATATAGGCAAACTCATTGCATATTTACCTGTTTGTGACTGGCTTATTTCTCTTCTCTCTCCTCTCCCCTCTCCCCTCCTCTCTCCCTTCCCCTTTCTCCTTTCTCTTCTCTCTTTTCTTTCCCCTCTCCTCTCTCCCCTCTCCCCTTTCTTTCATTCTTTTTTTTTTTTTTTAATTCTTTGACATGGGATCTCACTGTGTAGCTTAGGTTAATTTTGAACTACATTTATTTTCTTAAAATTAGGTCCTTTACTCTCAATTCTCATGCCTGGTGCTTTACTACTCGAGCCATACCTTCACTTCTGGTATTCCATTAGTTATTGGAGGTCAGAAGCTCTAGGATTTATCTGCCTGGGTTGCCTCTGAATCTTAGTTGTCTGATCTCAGCCTCTTGAGTCACTAGGATTAAAGGTGTGAGCCACTGGTGTCTGTCTTGATTGGTTTAGAACTCTTGATCCTCCTTCCTCAGTGCACTGAGTGCTGGGATTACAAGCATATGCCACTACCCAATGTGTCCTGTTTCTTTCACCCTAGACTGTGACTTCCAGGTTCCTCTTTATTGTAGTATGTGTCAGCATTTGTTTTGAAGGATTAAGAATATTTCATTTTATGAAATACCACATTTTGTTTATTCATTTATCTTATTATACTTGGCTAGCTTCCATCTTTTGGTTGATTGGGAATAATTATTGTGAATAATGCTGCCATGAACATATGTGTAAAAATATCTTTCAGATTTTGCTTTCACCTTACTTGTATACATACCCAAAAATGAAATTGTTAATTGTATAGTAATTTTACGTTTGTTTGAGGGGCTCTGATACTGTTTTCCACGGTAATTGTACCATCTACAATTCCTCTGAGCAGGGCACAAGGACTCCAGGTACTCTATATCCTTGCCAACACTTACTATTTTCTGTTTTCGTGATAGCTATTGTAATGGTTATGAAGTAGTATCCCATTGTATTTTTAATTTGTTTTTCTCTTATGATAAGTGATGTTGGGAATCTTCTCATGTATTTTATTATTTCAATATTATGTTTAGAGAAATGTCTATTTAAATTCTTTGTCCTTTAAAAATTTATTATTACATAATTGTACAGAGAGACAGAGTTTTCATTGTAACATGTCCATTGTCCAATTTTTGAGTCTACCATTGAGGTATGAAGTCTTTATATCTCAATTTCTTTTTCACTACTGCCTTTTTCACTACTGCCTTTGTCAGTAATTTCTACCCTTTCTATCTTGAGTGATCATTATATTCTTGTTGAAAATTATTTGGTCATGGGTGTAAAGGATTATTTCGCTGAAAATTATTTGGTCACAGGTTTATTTCTGGACTCCCAATAAAATTCTTCTGGTCTCTATATTTTCCTTTATGCCAGTATCACACTGTTTTGTCTGCTATAGCTTTGTGGAAAGTTTTGAAATTAGGAACTATGCAATTTTTGCTTTCTTTGTAGGTTTTTTTTTTTTTGCTGGTCCTGGGACTTGAATTCAGGACCTGAGTGCTGTCCTTGAGCCTCTCTGTGCTCAGGGCTAGCACTCTACCACTTGAGGCACAGCACCATTTTGGGCTTTTTCTGAGTAGTTTATTGGACTTTCCTGCCCAGGCTGGCTTTGAACTGAACTAAAAGTTTGATAAAATAATTTGATAAAACTATAGATAAAACTATTTTATATATATTATAGTTACATATAAATATTGTGATATCGTTTGATCAAACTATATTGATCAAATTATTTAATATAGTTTATTATTTGATTATGTTTGATAAGCTGTAATTCTCAAAAAATTTCGTGGGGCTTGAACTCAGGGCCTGGGTGCTGTCCTGAGCTTTTTAGCTTACGGCGAGCATTCTACCACTTGAACCATAGCACTGCTTCTGGTTTTCTGGTGGTTTTTTGGAGATAAGAGTCTCACAGACTTTCCTGCCCCAGGTAGCTTTGAACCATGATCCTCAAATATCAGCCTCCTGAGTGGCTAGGATTACAGGTGTGAGCCACTGGTGCCTGGCTCAAAAATTTTTTTAATGTGAGATTATTCTTTTAAAAAAGGAATTTGAATATTATAATAGAAATATTAAGCACTTACAAATTTTTATTTATGCTTTGTCTTTTAAGGAACTGAAATTACCATTTACCTTTTTAAGTGGACACATTCATGAATTGAGGATTCATGTACCATGGACAAAACTGGGTTCAGAGCCAGTGGTAATTACCATCAATACAATGGAATGCATTTTAAAACTAAAAGATGGAATACAGGTAAGATAGTATGGAATCTAATTGTTTATGATAACTAATTTTAATAGTTATTATATTTGACACTTCCTTAACTTTAATATGCCATCTGTCACATAAACCTACATAATTTTTACTAACAAAGCACTGAAAAGAATGTATTAGTTGGGTGTTGGTGGCTTATGCCTGTAATCCTAGCTACTCAGGAGCTAAGCTTTTCTGCTCAAGGCTAACACTCTCTCATTTTGAGCCACAGGTCTACTTCCCATTTTCTGGTGGTCAATTGGAGATGAGTCTCACGGGCTTTCTTGCCCAGGCTGGCTTTGAACTATGATCCTCAGATAACAGTCTCCTTCCTAAGTAGCTAGGATTACAGATATGAGCCACCAGCACCTACCTATATTCTTCTTTCTTACAACTACTTTCATTATATTCCACAGGTCTTGGTGTATTTTCATTTTCTCTTAGAAATTTTTAGATTTTCCCCCCCTCCCCCATTCTGTTTTTGATGACTTATTGGTCATTCAAAAGAGTAGAATTTAGTTAGTTGTTTGGAAGATAACACATTATTAAGGTTTGGTTTAAAAAACATATATTGATATAATCCATAGTGTCTCTTTTTGTCATGTATAAGCCTGAAATTTATGGACTGTGTATACCAAACATGGCATAAAACAGTTCGATGAAAAAAATTTTTTTTTCAACTTATTGAGGAAATTTTAAAATGCTGTCATTAGTGGAAGCTTATAAAATTCTGTTATATTTGTTTTACCCTTGAGATTGTATCCCTACCATTACTTTTTATGCTGTAAATGTATTATTTTTCATAGTGCTAAGAAAGTAAACATTTGGCTGGGCGCCAGTGGCTCACATCTGTAGTCCTAGCTTTTCAGGAGGCTGAGATCTAAGGATCATGGTTCAAACCCAGCCTGGGCAGAAAAGTCCCCATGAGACTTTTTTTTGGGGGGGGGGGGGGTCCGGTCGTGGGGCCTGAACTCTGGGCCTGGGCGCTGTCCCTCAGCTCTTCAGCTCATGGCTAGCGCTCTACCACTTGAGCCACAGCGCCACTTCCGGCATTTTTCTTTTTGCTTATGTGGTGCTGAGGAATCGAACCCAGGGCCTCATGCATGCAAGGGAAACGCTCTACCACTGAGCCACCTTCCCAGCCCCGCCATGAGACTTTTATCTCCAATTAACCACTCCAAAACCGGAAGTGGCACTGAGCCTCAAAGTGTTAGAGCACTACCTTTGAGTAAAAGAGAGCTCTTGGACAGTGCCCAGGCCCTGAGTTCAAGCCCCAGGAAGGATTTAAAAAAAAAGAAAAGAAAAGAAAGTAAACATTTGTATCTAGAGAAGTAAGGAAAACTTTAGTTTCATGAGGGAGTTCCTTACAATGTTATGAATGAGTAGAAATATGAAGTTGTAATAGAAATGCCAATGTAACCTTAATTATAGTATTCGGTGTGTTGGACACTACAATTTATTTGTGTAAATCTTGCAGAGATCATCTAGTTTTGAGAGTTTACAGCTTGCTGGCGGTTCCAAATTTTCTCTTTTCTGCTGGTTTTATGCTATCCCAATTGTTACATGGTATTAAAGATAATGAAAAACATTTGATAACAGCTTCCAGAGAGAGAGAGAGAGAGAGAGAGAGAGAGAGAGTGTGTGTGTGTGTGCTTCATTCACAAACTCAGTTTGCCAGAGTTCTCTGGATTTAGGCTTGATGATTGTTGTTTTCTTTTCTTTGAACTTGCTTATTTTGCCCTGATTAGTCTGTCAATTTCTGCTTATTAATTTAAGTGTTTTACATTTCATGTCATCTTATTTCTTTTTTATTTATTTTTTGTCAGTTGTGGCGCTGTCCTTTAGCTCTTCAGCTCAAGGCTAGTGCTCTATCACTTGAGCCACAGTGCCATTTGGGCTTTTTCTGCTTATCTGTTGCTGAGGAATCGAACCCAGGGCCTCATGCATGCAAGGCAAGCACTCTACCACTGAGCCATCTTTCCAGCCCCTCATGTCATTTTAAAACATTGCCTAGTGTCTTTTTTTGTGGCCTGAATTTTGTTCCTTTTTTCCTTGTCTTCTTTTGGATTATGTAGTCATTCTGTTATATCTGTGGTTTTGCTTTCTGTGATTTTAGTTACTGGAGGTCAGCTGTGGTCTTAAAATATTAAATGGAAAATTCTGGCAATAGGTAGTTATAAGTTTTTATATTACAAGTCATTTTGAGTAGGGTTATGAAATCTCTGGGCATGAATAATTATTTCTTTGTTCAACCTATGTGTTATAAGTGCTGCTTACTGCTTAGTCACTTAGTAATGACCAGTTATCACATGGCCTGTTTTTGTTATGTTTTTGCAGTGCTTGTGTTCAAATTATCGTATTTTAACAATGGCCCCAAAGAGCAAGAATGCTGCTGCTGAAAATTTTAATATATCAATTTATAATTATCTTATTGTTGTTATAATTGTTAGTTTTACCCTGCATAATTTATAAATTAAGCTTTATTAGAAATTACATATGTATAGATAAACACACACACACACACACACACACACACACACACACACACACACACACACACACATCATTCTAAGTCTAGAAACATCGTTCTAAGTCCCATGTGTATATGTATATACATGGGACTTAGAACGATGTTTCCAATTAATCAGCAAAAAGCTGAGCAGTTTCAGGCATTCCCTGAAGACCCTGGAATATATCTCTTCCACAAGAGAATGGTTATATTTTAGCCTTCCATTTACTTATTATTTTTATTATTATATTTTATTATTTTATTGTTTTTTGTAGACCCATGGAATATATACATATAAATTATCACTGCCTACTCTCAGTATTATATCTCTTCACAGGTAATGGATCATCCCTTACATTAGTGTGCTTACAGCAATATAAACACTATACTTCTCTTTGTTCCATACATTTGTGATAACATTGTCATAACTCTTCAATATTTGGTACACATTTAAATATATTACCTTTTAGAACAATTAACTTTTAAGAAAAATATGTTTACTCAACTGATTGTTTTTGATAATATTTATTTAGATCAAAAGTTTTCATTTAGTAATTGTTTTTGTTTTCTTTTTGTTGTTGGTGCCAGTATTGAGCTTGAACTCAGGAACTGGGTGCAGTCCCTCAGCTTCTTTGCTCAAGGCTGGCATTCTACCACTTGAGCCACAGCTTTACTTCTGACTTTTTGCTGGTTAATTGGAAATAAGAGTTTCCTTTCTGAGAAGGCTTTGAATCAGGATCCTCAGATCTCAGCCTCCTGAGTAGCTAGAGTTACAGGTGTGAGCCACTGGTTCCTGGTTCACCTAATAGCATTTTATTCAGCTTGACAAACTTCCTTTAAAATCATCGTCCATTTCATATTGCCACAATTTTTTTTTTTTGGGTCTGGTCATGGGGCCTGAACTCTGGGCCTGGGCGTTGTCCCTCAGCTCTTCAGGTCAAAGCTAGCGCTCTACCACTTGAGCCACAGTGCCACTTCTGGCTTTTTTTCTTTTTGCTTATGTGATGCTGAGGAATCGAACCCAGGGCCTCATGCATGCAAGGCAAGTGCTCTACCACAGAGCCACCTTCCCAGTCCCTTGCCACAAATTCTTTTAGTTTTTATTTCTTTGAGAAATTCTTGGCTAGCTGGTGCTGTAATTCTAAATATTCACAAGACTAAGATTTAGAAGATTGTGTTTCAAGGCTAGCCCAAGTAGAAATGTCTGTGAGACTACATCTCCAATTAATTAGCAAAAAGCTGAGCAAATAAGGAAGGCCTGAGTTCAAACCTAGTTACCAGCAAAACCTCCCCAAACTTTGCTACTGTCTTTGCTTTAAAATGCTGATTTCTGGATTCAGTCTTGGAGGTTATTCCTGCTTATTTTTTTTTGTGCAAGGGTTTCTTTTTGAAATAGTAGCACTGACTACTTTTTATTTAAAAGATAACTAGTGTGATGCCACATACCTGTAATACTAATTTTTGGTAGGCTTGTGAAGGATGATTACTGTCTGAGGCTGTTTGAAGCTGTTAGAGGCTGGTTTGGTAAAACCACAGAACTCTATCTGAAAACTAAAAAGAACTGGGAGCATGGCTCAAATTGTAGAGCACTTGCTTAGCTAACTCAAGGCACTCAGTTCAAAATCCCAGTACTGAAAAAAAATGTAATGAATGAAAAAAAAAAGATGGCAAACTATTAGAGGATGAAAGCATGTTAGAGGATAGCAATAGCTTAAAGTAATAGTCTGTTTCTGAATCTCTTTAGTGAACTAATAGTATTCATCAAAAACTGCAACTTAGATAATCTAGCTTCTGTTTTTGAACTTTCTCATCTCAGTGAACTAATAGTATTCATAAAAAACTGTCACTTAGACAATCTATTTAACTTAACTATTTTTCTTATTTGTTAAATGAGAATGACAGTATCTTTCAGGATATTTGTGATAGTTATGAGTAGTGAATGTAGAACTTATTGCATTGCTTGTGCCAGTGATAATAGTCACTTAGTCTGTTACTTTTGCAATGTAAGATTTACTCACCTCAAAAAATTCTTCATGATTAAGTTAAATCTATCATAGGAGGTCATTTCTCTAATGGCAACAGTGATAATTGTTAATAAAAATATAATTTTGCCAGGATGTTTATATAATTTGGAGATTAATATCCATTAAATTATCAATGTTATATTTCTTTGACTTTATAATTTTTCTTGAACTTATTTAACCTATAGATACATGTGTAATGATCACTCAAAATTTGCTTTATGAATAACTGTTCAAAAGTCAGTTTCTTATTTTAGTATTATCAACTTTTATTTTATGGATATTGCGTTTTTAATTAAGTATTCAGTATATGGCTGGTGCTTTTCTTTGACTCTGTTCCTCTATCTCAAGGTCTTTTTTTTTCTTTTAATTGTGCTCATCCTGGGGCTTGAACTCCAGCCTGGGCACTATCCCTAAGATTTTTTTTGCTTAAGGCTAGCACTCTACAACACGAGCGACAGCTCCACTCC